CCCGCCTCCCCCCCCACTCACAGGGACTCTGTCGGGGTTTTTCTTCCTGATTTTCTCCCCTTCTTTTTTCCTGTACTCGAACGGGTGGTCTTCCTTGTACTGGAACTTCATGCTGCCGGCCTGGCACCTTCCCTCCCTCACGGCCGGGTACTTTTTGCCAAACCCACCGACGCCTCCGCAAGCGCAGCGCAGCAGAGCGCAACCCGGAGCCGTGCGGCGGGGAGCGCACCATTTTTTTTTACAGTGATTTATTGCGCGGCAAAAAATAAGAAAAATAATAAATAATTACTTTTCTTTTTTTTTTTTTTTTAAAGGCAGCAAAATAAACACAGGCTGGAGCAGGGCCGCAAACCCCGCAGCGTGACTCAGGGGTTATAAATGCAGCCTGCCGCAGGCACATCATCCACCCGGGACTGCGGGGATGGCCGCCTTGCTCCTCCCTCGCTTCCCCCACCGACCGGCGCAGCAGCGTGGGAGCCGGGGTTCCAAGGGCTCGGTGTCTTCCCGCCCCCCGTGTGAAGCTGGAATGCCTCTGTTTGCCTAAAACTCGGGTAACGAGCCTGACCTAGCCGTAGAGCGGCTGTGAGACAGAAAACACGCTACTTTTCCTGACCTCCTCCTCCTCCTCCTCCTCCTCCCCCCCCCGTCGCTGTTGGATCGGGATTATTCCCTTGTTTATAACGTCTCAGTTAAACAACAAGGGGCAGAAAGTGTGTCACGTAATGTGCCAGACCAGATGTACATTACAAACAGCAGACAGTTAAAGGGAACTGTCTGCAAACAAGCCAAAATAGACGGCCAATTTTAGCCCAGTTACTCAGCTGATACATACTTGGAATGTCTTTTTTTTTTTTTTTTTCCTAGCAGTAGCTGGGCTCACAATTATTTACTGATCAGCAAAAGAAGGTATTAATGAATGGATCAGCATGCTCAAATCAGCACAAAAATTAATTGCTGCTGCCCGGGGGACAGTGAATGGGAGTGTATCAAGTAATTTCTTTGCATGCCTCATCCAGAGAAGGAGAACTTTCCCAAGGATGATCTTTTATTTGTGTGGTAGTTTTAGTTGCACTAGTAGAGGCTGAGTGGGACGGCAGACTGCCTCAGATACATAAGGTGGCTCTCCGAGGCCACACCAGCGGTAGAGGTGAGAGGACCCAGCCTTCCTATATCTGATTCAACCTTGTGCCAGTGTGTTGCCTGGAAATAAAACTCCTGAAATCAAGATGACTTAGAGAAGAGATACCGCTTTATTTGGTGCTGGGTGCAAGGTGGAATTCCACAAATCAAGCACAGCAAACTTAGGTTTTACTCCCTTATTTATACATTGTAAATATATTTCCACACCTATCTAATGCATGTTCAGTAGCCTGTCTTTGCACACTCATCTTCGTTGGTTGACAGTCTCGTTGCCTAACTATTAAAGCTATAGCATTCTTTTAATTCACTGTGCCTGTGTATGAGGAGTGCGTGGGGGTACTTGTTTCATTCCCCAGTTGGGTCGGTGGTCGCAATCTCCCCCTACCAGAATTACCTTTCACCCAGTTGCCTTCCACCTTGTACATGTTATCTTGGAATGTCCACAACCCTCTCTGTGGCCTTCCTCATTAGTCCAGCTTATCTTGGAATGTCCGCAACCCTCTGTAAGGCTTTGCAACAAATTGCTTTGATGACGCCTCGTTTGTTAAGTCTGTCTATTCCATTAACACCGACCTGTTCTTTACTTTTCAATTGTTCTTTACTTTTAATTTTGATTTGAGGATAACAAGTACGTTGACTCAGGATGGACAAGGTTAGGAAAAGGCATCATTGCTGTTCTGCTGGCACTCTGCTTCTACAGCATGGCTAGAATGGAAAAAAATCCATACTACAGCGAAGAGTCAGCTTGAATCGTGGGGAACTTGAAGAGCAAGCTGGATGCTCTTTCATGATAAAAGCAAGACCAGGGGAATATAAAGCAGGATCAGAGGAACAAAAAAAAAAAAGTCTTTTTCTAGAAATCCTCATATAAATCCTTTAGGCCGCCTCAAGAAACTCGCAGTACTGGTGGCTTTATCCCTATAAGCTGGTATGCACACTGGAGTTGCCTGCAGGGTGGGACTCACACTGGCACCGGGTGTAGGAAGGGCCTATTAGAAATCCCCATTGCAGATCCAGGGTGTTCGCTTGTGCCCCCGGCCTCGCAGAGAGCTGTTTCATATACCAGCCACCAGCCACCTTTGCACTCAATAGCACGGTGCTGGAACTCGGAGGCCATTTGGTAATGCTCTCTCTCCAAGCCCTGGTGCCCTGGGATCTCTCATCTTGAACATCAGTAGGAGAGACCTGGAGGAAATACGTTTACTTCATTGCAGATATGCTCAGGTGGTGGTGGTAGCTGCCAGATAATCTTGCCTGGCACAGGACTGTAAATGGACGTGGGGTAGAAAACTCATGTATGCTTACAATGTAGGCATGTGCAGCTGAGCCTGTCACTTTAAGCTGCCTTTGTGGTCAATGGCAATAAATAGGCATGTTGGGGTGGGATTTTTCTCACCTGAATCATGACATCTACTTTTGGATGGCCAAAGCATGCCCCAGAGAACCCTGGCAGGTGCTTTAGTGCCTGAGTTTTTACGACTCAGTATGGTATAGTGTGAGCTCCTGCACAGCTCAATGGTCAGCTCCAATGGGTGCATGCCCAAATTTCTTAAGGACAAAGCAGCTCACAGTGGGAATGGTATGGGCCGGCATGTCCCAGCCATCGCTAGTCCACATGCCTAGGGTTCGTACAGGAAGCATCATCAACTTGTTTCTGTCTGTCCGAGGACAAATGAACATTTCCCCGTGGTTGCAGGCAGTGTCAGAGGATCTCAGAAGGGTGAGTCAGAAGGAAGGCATTATTTTTGTGCAGTGCCATAGCGACTAGCCTAGGCTGAAGGAAACCCAGGGCTTAGACTTGGGGAAAATTCTGGTTTCATGGCATTGCACCTTTCTATAATACCTGTGTTTGGCCTCCTTGCTTCCTAACTGCCTGTAGCATAGCAGCTGCTAAAGTGTATTGACTGTCTGCAGCGATGAAGATGCCTTTTCCTTGAGGATGAAAGAGAGGAAATTTTCTAGCCTGTTTCACCCAGGCCACCAACCCATTCTGGAAATTTTAACAGACTGATCTCAAACTCCTGTTGTCCTGTAAATCGCTGTTTCCACCTCTAGGACTATACACAAGGCAGCTGAGCTAGCACCTAGCTCGAATTTCTGTTGACAGATCAGGGATATGAGTTTCTGGGTTCTTCCCTGGTCTGATGCACAGACATGGCCTGCAAGAGCATTGCTAGGTGACTTCTCCTCCTCCAGCACATCCCACGTGAGGATCACAAATCTGCTTACTGAACTCTTCCTGCCCCGATGATGCAGCCCTGGATGTGCAGCCGCAAGCCTTGCTCCTCCCACTGCCCCGCTTCCTCCCCATCAGACACTGAATTCCCAGCTCTCTGCTCCAGCTCAAAAACAACAATAACGTCACTGGCACAACAGCAGGCAGGAAGATGATACATGGAGAAGCAGTGACAAACAGCTAATCATCTGACTTAGAGTTCTTATTAAAATGTCAACCCATGGGCATGTGACAAACGCCACATTCTGGGTCTGTGTGCTAGAGGGGTTGGAAATGGGGTTGGCTAGTTTTCCTACCCTGGACTGCCATCACAAAGTGATCCACAGAGTGGCAAACCAATATACTCTTAGTGTACTACTGTGTCTGCAGCTCATGTAGAGGCAGAGGTTCACTCTAAAAGGGATTCCCTAAATGTTGCCAGTGCTGTAGCCATAGAAGCAGGAGATAAAAATATTTCCACAGAATCTGGGGGCAGGGTTTGCAGCCCGTGCTGTACCAATACAGAGTGCTCCAGGAGCTCTGCAGTGCACTACTGTGAAGTGAAACTAGCTTAGATATATCTACACAACTGGCTAAAAGTCTGTGAATTAAGGATAGAAATATCCATTATTTGCCTTGTGTTTCTTGGAGATATCATCTAGGTGGATGTCTCTTGGGAACCCCCTGGAGCTGCTGTTCAGCTACCTGTAACTCTGGTTTCCCTTGGATATTTCTTTCATCTGTACATGCCCTTGGGTACTTACCCCATTTCTACCGCCACAGGCTGACTTTTTTCTGTTTTTAATCTCTAGTGTGGTTTCAGCATATCAAAGCCTCTTGTCAGAAAACTTCTACTTTGTAGTCTGAATGGCAATTAAACCACAGAGGGTGTACCTGAAGTCACTTGTGATTCTGCTCTGTTTGATGTCCATCCTTGGACAGTTCTTGCACATGACGCATGGATAGTTCTTCAGTCCTTGCCTGGCGTCTCTCCTGCACCACTCATGACTCTTACACTGGATCTAAAGCAGCCTCAGAGCCAGTACGGGTACACTGGGCCTCCATGAGGGTACAGGGTTAGGCACTCCGGCAAACAATGGCTAATTGTGTAGATGTTTTCCTTTCCTCTAGGAAATGGTTCTGTATTGTCTATGCTGAACTGCTGTCTCACTGCTCTATTTTCTACAGCTTCTTATTTTTTACAAAAAAGCTGCTTATTCCTCCCAAACTGACTGCATGGCCCAGCCTCAGCTCAAGTTGCTTAAAATGATGTTATGAGGAGATGAAAGAAAATACCTTGTTGTGTGGTGAAAAGCATCAGTAAAGGACAAAACCCCAGATCTGAATAAGTCTGAGATCCCTTTGTTCTAACCGATGGTTTGGAGTGGCCTGTTGGGGATGGGTGTCGTTGTTACTTACAGTCCTGTGAAAACAAAGGAGCAACACAGCAGTGGGACCAGTGGGGGGGTTTCAGAATACCAGTTTTTCTCAAGTACCACATGTTCTAGGGGAACCTAAGGGTGGTGTGGACAACTCCTCCTAGAGTCGGTGTAATGTTGTTCCTCTCATGTGGTTCCAGCCCCAATTACTCCATGTGCAGGCTAAAGGTAGACAGTGGAGACAGGTTGCTCTTTCTCCTTTGACATCACTCGTCCTATGCTTTCTTGGGTCTCACCTATTTCCCACTGTTTGGTCAAGGGTTGAGTGAACAAGCAAGCCAAAGCTGAGCCAAGGGCCAGTGACTTGGTTATCATACAGTTATCTTCAGTGCTTTGTGCATCATTTTCCCCACCTACAAATGGAATACTAAGGCTCATCAGACACGTAAGCAGCTTGAC